GGGCCTGTCCCCCATTTACTTGGACCCCCTCGTGGCGTCTCGCAGCGTGTCATTTAGCGCGCGTCAGGTGGAATCAGCTCTTCTACGATGCTGCTCGCAGGACTTTGGTGAGGCCACGCGTGGACTGTGGCCTGGCCACGGCGGCGCGGGGCAAAAGCTGCTGGGCCATTTGGCGGGGGGGGCGCCGAGTGAAGCGTGGGTTTCTGGGCAGCGCGCGCCGTTTTGCGTCGCGTGCCGCGCGAGGGATGGCGACTGCCATGTCTGCCGTGGCCCGCTGCACTTTCGCCCATGTCCCCCGCCCATATTTCGGCCGGCCAATATCTCCCAGAGGAGGGGGGCGAGGCCAGCGGGACTTTCGAGGGTGGCGTCGCGCTGCGAACGGAGGCGCGAGCTGGTCTGAGGCCGCGCCTTGCCCCCGCCCATGCTCTGTGAGATGCATGATTTGAGTGCTGCCCGTGCCCGTGTGTGGCGCGGTGCTGCGGGCGGGAGTGTTCCCCTCGCTCCGCAATGTTTTCTTCTCCCCTTCTATTTTCTTCGCGCGCCGCTGCGTGTCCTTGCTGAAGCCTCTCGCGACGTTGCGGCTTCGCCGTTCGCCGCGCTCTGCCCTTTTCCTCGCTCCGCGCGGTAGCCGCTGGTGTTGCGGACTTTCTCTCCGCGCCCCGCCGTTGCCTCGTGGCCTGTCCCGCGGAACTGTTTGCGGGCCTTGCCGTATTCGCGTCTCGTCGTTCTAGGTGGTGGGGACCTTTTGGCCGCCCTGCTGGCCCGTGCCTGGGGGCTGTCACCTTGGTGCTCGGCCGTGTCTTGCCTTGCCTGCGCTGCCCATGTTTTGTCTTCGCAACTGGCTTCTTGCGCTCCACTCGTGTGTTGCAGCGCCTTTTCCCCGCCGTTTTCTTCGGGCCCGGCGTCGGCCTTGCCGCCTCGCTGCCTGCGCCCCGACGCGTGTCGTGGGCCGGCCAGCCTCTTGCTGCGCCGTGCTGCCTATCTGTTGACCAGCCTCTATATTTCCTCACCGCCTCAGGCGGGGTCGTTCCTCCAGGGTGCCCCGGGGTCCCCGGCCGGGCGGTGCCATGCACCTCATGTGTTGGCTGGGACATGGATTTTCTTGCGCCCCCTCGGGTGCGCGCGTCAATTTCCACGGTGCGGTCGGCGCCTTTTTCCGTTTGTCAGTCTGACCGGCGGCGATCTTACCGCTTTGCTGTTTGCGCCCTGGCATGGTGTGCGGGTCGGCATGGCCGCGGCCTGTTTCATTGCTGCTTCCTGGCGTCGCGCCTGGGTGTGCGCATCTGCACCTGGGGCTGCAGCTCGCTGTTCCTGCTGGCCTTCCAGCTGTATGTCAGCTTGCTTTGCGGGCAGCGTTCTCCGCGGTGGTTCGTCGGTCCCCTCTTCCCCTTGGGACGCGGGGGTCGCTTGCCTCGCCGTCGTCGGTGTGTCGCGGATCGGCCGTGTCGCGTGGTCTTCCGCCGTCTTCTTTACAGTTTCCCCCCTTCCCCTTCTCTTCTTCCAGGTCGTCCCCGCCGCGGGGGTCTGTCTCTGTCTGGGCGTTGACGCGTCCCGTTGGCGGGTTCGCATTGCTCGTCCTCTTTTTGTATTTTCTTTGCCGCCTTGTCGGAGTGGTTCGATCTTTGCGGTGACGCGTGCAGTCCCTCTTGTGCTCGGTGGTCCCCCATCTCTTGCTTCTGCTTTCGCCTGCCTTCATGGCAGCTCTTCGCTGCTTTGGTTGCGTTTTTTTTTTTTTTTCTTCTTCTTCTTCCGCTGGTGTCTGCGCTGCATGTCGGCCATGTTCGCGCCTGTCCACCATCCATGTGCGCCGCCACGTCTCGCGGTTGCTGCTCGTGGTCCCCCGTGTCCAGGTCAGTTCATATTGCCCAAGGCTATGCCAGCCTCGGCCGCGTGATCATCTTTGTCATTTGTTGCACGGTCGCCTTGCGTGGTTGTTGCCCGCTGCAAGGTCGGTGGCGTTGCTTTGTCGCGCACTTTCCTTGCGTGTATGCACCGCCGCCAAGTTGGCTGGTCCGGTAGCCTTGCAGTCCTTGTATGTTGCCCTCTTAAGCATTAATTCGCACCAGACTGCTGTTTGCGCTTCAAACTTCCCGCGTCGAGCTTTCGTTCTGCGGGTTCTCTGGCCGCTGCACTTTTGCTTGGCAGCGCCTCCCGTTTAGTCCACCACCATTTCGCATGGCCGTAGCTGGATTCTTTCATCAAGGCGCGTTGGGTTAAGTTAGTTCGCAGTTTCCACCTTCACCTGCCGACCGCGCCTGAGGCTCCTCTGCGCCGCCGACTTTAAAAGTGTGTTTGTGTGTTTGTGTGTGTGTGTGTGTGTTGTGTGTGGTGTCTCCTTCCTCCCATCAGCTTCCCCTCCCCCGCCGGTCGGCCCATGTCCCTCGCGTCTGTCCGTCTCCTCCCCCGGCTGTCCGCTGTCGCTCCTCGCTCTTCGCTTCTCCCTCTCTTCCCTTGGCCCCCCCTTTCCGTTTTCTTGCTGGCCCTTTGTCGTCCTAGTTCGGGCCGGCTTGGCCGCTGCCTTCGCTGCCCTGGCGCCCGGGAGCCGCGCCCGGTGTGCCCCGTGATTGGCTGGCCGTCTCGCCTTTCCCTTCCCTCCGCGCGGCGCGTCTAACGGTGTGGTGCGTCGCCCACCCGTGACGACCGAAAAGTGTGCTTGTGTGTGTGTGTGTGTGTGTGTGTGTGTCGTCCTCCGCCTCGTCGCTGCGCGCGAGGCCGCGACCGCCAAACCAGTGTGTGTGTGTGTGTGTGTGTGCGTGTGTGTGTGTGTGTGTGTGTGTGTGCGTGTGTGCGTGTGTGCGTGTGTGTGTATATATTAGTGTCCATCGCTTCTATCTTTCCAACAGCAAAGAGCATGTCCGCTTCCAGAGTTCATGTGGCCTGGCCAAGACTCGCGCCGGAGGTTTCCCCCGCCGTTGGGGTTCCCGAAGTCATATCCGGGCCTTCGGAACTGATGATAGCGAACTCGGGGTGAAATGCAGACCCCCAGGCAGGGGACGAGTTTTCCAGGCTTGCTGGGCGCGCGGTCCTCCTTCTCCGCAGGTCATGCGGCCAGCTTTCGACTTATTTTTCGGAGTTCTCATCCTCCTCAACACCATAGGGATGGTGATCGAGGAGCAGTTCAACGGCGCCCAAGTAGGACTGTACGGGTTCATACTGACCCCATCAGTGCTGACCTCCCGGCCACAGCCGTTTGGAGAGGAGTCTTCGGATGGCGCCGAGAAGGCCCAGATCCCTCTCGAGATGGTCTGGTTGGCTGTGTGTCAGCGTTATTGGGGGGGCGAGCTGGATCTGTCCGAGGCTACAGCATCGGCTTCTACGAGTACTACGGCTCCGACGAGTGGGCACAACACACATACCCAGAATCGTGGTTCCATGCGGGCGAGGTGGTGTTCGCCTGCCTCTTCAGCGTCGAGGTGATCCTGAGGATGTTAGGGATGGGCTTCCGCTTCTTTAGGCGATCAGAGGGGCGAGGAGGACGAGGAAAAGGCGGACGTGGAGGATGCGTACGAGGAGGAGGAGGAGGAAGGGAGGAGGAGGAGGAGGAGGAGGAGGGAGAGGAGGAGGAGGAGGAGGAAGAGGAGGAGGATGAGTAGGAGTAGGAGTAGGAGTAGGAGTAGGAGTAGGAATAGGAGTAGGAGTAGGAGTAGGAGTAGGAGTAGGAGAAGGAGGAGGAGGAGGAGGAAGAAGAGGAGGAGGAGGAGGGGGAGGAGGAGGAGGAGAAGTGAGGCGAAGGAGGAGGAGGAGGAGGAGGAGGAGGAGGAGTATAATGTTTTTTTAGCACTACCAATGCATGAAGAGGATGATCTACTCTTCAGGAATAACCTCAAGGGTGACATCCTTCACCTTTGCATGACGACCCTTTAAGATTTGACACCTCTCCAAATTGTTGCGCGTAACATTGCCGCACGCCTTACCCAACAAGGAGAGTAGGCCGAGCGTGGACGCCGCTTTGCATCGCACGCATACAAACAATGGCGACCCGTCGCTGCACATAAGAGAAATGAGCCTGTGTCCTTTTTCAGCGACGCGCAGATGGCCCTCAGGCACCTTCCCAGTACGCCCCTCAGGTGGAGGCTTGGGGGAGCAGCCGTACACAAAAGGTCCTTGTTGTTTTAATTTTTAGACAAGTGGAGCACCTCCAATAGGAACGGCACCATTCCCAGTCATGCGCTTCTTATCCTTCGATGGCCTTGGCTCTCTGGACGGGGCTGCGACGAACCAGGGGACAGCTAGAGAGATCAAGGGCGGGCCAGCGGGGCAGAACGCGGGCCGCCAGGAGACACACCGATTTTGGTACCATGCACTGTCTGCTGACTTCAGCGAGCTCCTTGTCAGAGCCTCTGGGGTGAGCAGAAATACCAGCTTTGGCGGCAGAGTCTGCGGCAGCGTTGCCGAGCTTGGCCCACCTTTGATCGTCAGTCAAATAAGGATCGTCCACCACATGGGCCTTGACCTTCTGAAGGTCTGTGAGGTGGGGAGTAGCAGCAAAATCATAGTGCCAGCGTGCATTCTTTAGTGTGACAATTTCTTCGGCCTGTCAGCCCAGAAACTGGAGACCACCTTGGCGCAGTCATGCAGACCTCTCGAGGGCCCGACGGAACTATGGGCCGCCATCGCCAGAGCCCAACACTCCCCTGGCTGCGGAGTCTGTGCATGGGGCCCCATACTGGTCCGTGTACCGAAAACTGCACCCGAGCCTCAGGATCTAGGCAAACATGCCCCAGGAGGGCCCATTCAATTCACGAGTGACATGTTTGGAGCAAGAGCCATTCTTACATATATCTCCTTGCACTTCGCCTCGTAGGAGCCCCTCCAGAAGCCCTTGGCCTAGGAATAACATCTCCAGGATGTGATCCTTCGTGAGGAGCAGCAACTCCTTAGTGTCGCTATGATCCACCTGGCAGCCGCACTCACGACATGGCCATCGATCAGATCGGATCTGTCTGTGGCACAGGCAGGGCGTTCCCAGAGTCGGTGCCAAAGCCCCGCACGTGACAGACTTGATGCAGCCCTTCTCGAATGCAAATACCTAGAGGATCGAAGATGAGCAGAAACCACATCGTAACAAACGCTCCCAGGGATGCCGAACATGTAGGCTGCACCACGTTCTAATTGCCTTACAACTCAGTCTTTCAACATCTGCTTTACCAGACAGGGAGAACATGCCGTCAGAAGAATATCCTCTTGAAGCTCATCCACAATAGTCGATCAAGAACTCATGCTCCATCCAATCCTCCCCAGGCACATCCTCGTAGCTGACATCGGACCGCTGACTCGACTCCACCTGAGATCTGCCTCTGGTACATTGAACGCAACTTGCCACGCCTGCCATAGCACCTGGACAGAGAGAGGCTTGTCTGAAACTTTTGCCTGATTCGCGAATGCTTCATTTGAAAACCTGGGGATGGGAGGTACAGAACCGAAGCAAGTCGGATCTGATTCCAGGATAAGTAGAGAGGTAAGTGATCGCATAGCAGCACTGGGGCGAAGCACAGCACCAGCACTACGTCTAGTGCTAGCCAACTCGAAATCGGAAAGACCGTGAACTTCTGTACCATAGAAGAGGCCTGCGAGCGGGCCGCTCGTGAAGACTCTCTTGGTGTTCCTGCCGAGCGCCGCCTTGCAGCGATTGAGCCGATCAACTCTATTGACAAACGCTCCCTTCCTCTCCTTGGCGACCTTCCCTCGACGATCGTGACGACGGCTCCACCCAGCAGTATCATCCACTCCTATTTAGCAGAAGGGACCAGCTCGGCTCTACCGCAGTCGCCACTCGCGCTGTGGATAGCTGCACCTAGCTTCGCTGAAGAGCAAATGACAGAGGTCTTGTCCTGAGCAGTGACACACTTAAGACCCTCGGTAAGCGAAACATACAGCTGGGAGGGGGAGGGGGAGGAGGCGGAGGAGGAGGAGGAGGTGGAGGAGGAGGAGGAGGTGGGATGAGTAAGGGCCATGTGGATAGTGGTGTTTGACTGTCTGTGCCACAGGCGGCCCGTTGAGGTATTCGACCTGGTAGTGGTGATCTTGTCGGATCTCAGCGTCGCATTCAGCAGCAGGCGCGTTCATTTCCAGCCGTCGTGGCCAGTTCCTGTTTGGTCACGCCGGTGCTCTGCTCTCGATGCTCAATCTGATTCATAACGCTTCTTTTGCTTATACGACCCCTCGGGCAAGTGTGCTCGGTCCTTTGTTGTCGATCTGTTCGTGTGCACAACATTGCGCGGGTGGTCTTGATCGCATCTTCTTCTCTTGTAGCCTTGTCGAAGGTTCTTGGCATTTCAGGGCTCTGGTCTGTGCTAGGTCAGATCCTGAAACACACCCGCGTGGCCTGTCAAGTTGCGCCATCAGCGCAGGTGCTCGCGCTTCACAGCTCGTGTGGTATTCTGGGATACTTCATCAAGTTGCGACTCTGCCCTCGGCTCTTGGCTCCCTGTGAAGGACGGTCCGACTGGAGTTTCAGCAGGGAAGACGTTCAGGTCTTAGGGCTGTGGAGTAGTGATGATGCGATGATGACGACGATGATGCTGCTGCTGATGATGATGATGATGATGGTGATGGTGATGGTGATGGTGATGATGCTCATGATGAGGATAATGAGGCGATTGAAAACATGAAGCGGCCGCTGAAAGCTCCAGTACTACTTTCGAAGACGTGGAGTTGCTCCGACTACTGCGGGCTGCGAAGTTGCTGCGGCTGTTGAAGCTTGTCAGAGCCATTGAGGGGTTCAGGCGGTCGGGAGCCAGAGGAGGAGGGAGGAGGGAGGAGGATTGAGGCAGGCGGCATGATGAGGGAAGACAATGGGGAGCAAGAGGAGGAGGAGGAGACGGAGGAGGAGGAGGAGGAAAACCAGAGTAAATCCCGCATGCATCAACGATGCTGCAGTACACCGTCCTGTCTCAAGTCGCCTGCTCATGAGTTTCTACAAGTATCCTTCTCTACTGCGGAAAGCGCCCCCCTTGAATAGCAAGCATCCTGTGGGCCTACCACTCAGGTGACCCCGTTTGGTAACGGATTCACCTCCAACCTTTAAGATAAGAAGCGTTTTTTTTTACGCGTAGTGACAAACTTCATGGAACTGGCAAGCAATGCGTCAATCTTGGAAAGAGCTGCCGTCCGTCCGTGGAAGGGAGACCGAATCATGGTCACACATTTTGCGGAAGTCTTAGGCGAGAGCCCCGTTCTGAAAAGGAACCGCCCACTCCGTCCGTGTATCAGTGGCGTAACGTAGGTCAAAGAGCTAAATAACATCTCAAGCGAGAGCAGCCATCATCTTTGCAATTGTTGGAAGCTTATGGAAACAAATGGGCGCGGCGCGCAGGCGAGAACCACACCACTAGCCCTCCATCAATGGAACATGGCAAAAACGAATGAGCGCAGCGCTACGGCGAGAAACACATTATGAAAACCACCGGTCCTTTTTTTCTTCTCTCCATAAGCATATCGGCGAGCATAAGGGGGGACACGCACTGACAATTGCTGTCCCTTGCTAGAGCAGTATTTCTCTCGCCCTCGCGCAGCTTCGCCTCGACTGGCCCGCACGCGCGACACGCGTCCAAACCCCCATGTTTTTGTTGTTTTGCTTTCTTTTCGCCTCGATGCCACCCGCAACCCTCCGATCAGCTAGCTGGAGGATCTGGGATTGTCCGGGGAGAGACGGTGGTAAGGAAGGCAGGAAGGAAGGGAATGTGCAGAAAGATGATGCGTGGGGGAGGAAAGAGGAGAGATTGCAGAGCGGGACGGAGGAGAGGAGATGGAAGTGAAGAGGTGCATGGGGAACGGAATTGTGATGGGAGGTTCGACGCCCTCCACCTCATGATGACGGCGCTTATGTCGTCCACATGGGCACTCTGTTGGTCCGTCCTGCTGTTACTGAGCATTATGACCTTTATCGCCATGATCACCACGAACCTTTTCCGTGCATTGTACTTGGAGGTTCCCGTGGGAAGATGGGTAACTGATATAATGAACATTTTGCCGCAAAGAATGAGGGACGGACGGGCTCATAGCGAGACGGAGAGAGTTGGTCGACCAGGGGCAGGGGTCAAAGGAAGGGGCATACCGACAACTGATGAGAAAGTTGTATACTCTCGGTTTGTGAAGGCAAGGGGTTGTTAAGCTCTGGTGTTCTCAAGCGTCCACACGTTCCGTTTTCCTTATCTGTCGATCCCCCTGTCTCTTTCGACTGCCGTTCTCTCTTCTCCCTTTCTCTCTCTGGGTCCTTCTCTCTCTCTCTCTCTCGCTTTCTTTCTCTCTTTCCCTCTCTCTCCCTCCCTCCCTCCCTCCCTCTCTCTCCCTCCCTCCCTCCCTCCCTCCCCCTCTCCCTCTACTCGAACGGTCGGTCTCCTATCCTTCCCTGCTCTCTGCCTGCCTCAAGAAACCAAAGTGTGTTAGACAAAACTGCTTGGCACGGCCGTTTGGCTCAAGCTGGCCAGCGTCCGTGCCAGTGTTCGCCGCGTGCTCATTTACCGTGTTCATTTGCCTCCGCGAACAAAACACCAGTTTTCTCAGTTGGTAGCGGAGCTCCAGCTCCCTTCCACTACCTGCAGGCTTCCCGTCGCCATGGCCCGCGCGGCTTCTCCGCCAGTCTCTGGCACGCCTGCCTCGTACCCCATCATCTAGTTCGTGTTCGGCAAGGTTCCCCCTCTGGATCACCATACCATCCGTGTTCAGGATCCTCATGTACGTTGAGACGTACAACCAGGACAGCTACCTGTACCAGCACGACGTCATGACCTACAAGGAGCGCGGCGCCCACCCGCCGCCGCCGCAGCCTGCCTCTCACTTGGGGTGTATTCCAACAGAGTTGGGGTCGTTTTCGGGGCTCATCGAGTCTCGCGCTGAAGCTAAGGACCCGCTTCCATCAACAGTGCCGGCCCGTGGTCCCGAACGTCCCGTAACTGTGTTGCGAGCGCCTTGGGAACCGCTGGCGGATAAGAGCGATAATAATAGTGAGAACGCGGTGGAGTGTTGGACAACTGTTTTGTCATACCTCCAAGGAGCAGTGCAGCAGGCGTGGGATTATTTGTCTACTTTGGTTTGGCATTTGACAACTCGGCGCGCTCGCCGATTCTCTGCAGTCTGGCAGTGCGAGATCCCGATGCGCACTGGTTTGGAGATGTCTCGAAGTTAGCAGTCCTCAGCATAGTGACGACAGGACACACGAGGGGAACGAGCGCGTTTATGTTGCGAAGTGTCCCGTGTGTGAAGATATCTGTGACGACGCGCTAGAAAACAATGCCGCATGCGCTAGCGAAGAGGAACTCGTTCGGGGCAGGGGCCCACGGCGGCTTCGAGGCTCGCGGTCAATGCAAGGCCGTCGCTGGGCCCCGGGCCTCCAGCGCATCCTTGATCTATGGAGGGGCATCCACTCCAAATGAAGAGGTTGTTGGAGTGGGCGTGCTCGCCCTGGCAAGCTGCCTCGCCTGCGTGGGCGCAGGGGGCGGCAGCGGCGGCGCGCGGCGCCTCCGCACCTGAGGCCCCGAGCAGCAATCGCGGGTTCCCTGCCAACGTTGGGCGCGGAAGGTGATGGCATGGTCAGTGGCGAAGTCTGACCTCGAGGAGTTTCGCCAGGCGGCCGACGTCTCCTCGCGACTCACCGACGTGGCCCGAGAGTGCTTGAACCGGTGGCCGCCAGGGAGGCGCCACGTGGCCCGTCTCATCACGACTCGCCAGGGAGGCGCCATCCACGGCAACCCAGTGCCACCGATGACTTTCCCGAGGCGCAGTTTGACGAGCGCAGCGCAGCTCGCGCGCGCGTGGCGGGTCAACTGCAACGCTTTTTGCACGTGATTTAGGGATCGCCCAGCAATGTAGCCTCAGCGGTGCACGCGGCCCAACGGCAAAGATTCTTCACGGGTGCGCCCGCGCAAGATCAGGCTCAAAGTGCCTTTGGGATTGCGGCCGGATCGAGCCGGGGCGGCCTGGGCCCATCGGCGCTGGGGGGTTGTGCCGAGCCTGCCTGCGCCGGCGCCGCCGTCGCAAGAGGCGTGTTCACCAGTTGCCATCGGCTGGCTCAGGCACCGACGCCGACGAGATCAGCTCATTCGGCGACGGAGAGACAGCCGCCGACGACCCCGAGCTGCGCGTCATTCTCGTAGAGCAGCGTGGAACGCACCTGTTGCGGGCTTGCGAGCGCGCCGGGCACGATGGCGACGCTTCAACGGCCGCAAGCCCACGCGCCGCGTCCGGGGGGTGATCGAGAAGGGCAGGGGCCACGGCAAGGGCTACACAGCCATGCTGGCCAACAAGTCCGAGAGTGACCCCGGGGAGACATGCGCTGGCTTCGGGAAGGGCAGAGGTGCGGGGGCGGGGGGTTCCAGACCAGCGGCGTGGGTTCGGGCAGTCAAGGTGGCCTTGCGGACCCCGACGGTGCGCGACTCAAATGTCGCGAGTGCGACTCAGAACGCCTCGTTCGACGCCTGTGCCCCGGTTCCGCCAGCGCCCACGCCGCTGTCATCTTTGTGGCAGCGAGGGCCACCGAGCCCAGCTGAGCAGCAGCCCCTGACGAGCGCGCATTTGGTTTGGATGGTCAGGGGCTCCGCCTGCCTTAGGCAGACTGTGTCTGCCGGCTCGGGCGCGAGTGATCTATGCAGAGTGCAGATTCCTGGGGCGGCGGCCAGCTTGCGCCAGCGTCTGTGGCGACGCGGCCAGCAGCGGCAGCAGCAGCCACTGCGCCAAGTTCGTCGTCCGACGGTTCGTGGAAACAGGTTGGCGATAGTCAGTGGCCGCGATGGGCGGGTGCGTCATAAACATCGGCGTCGCCCGACCCCCGGAGACCGGACTACGACGACTGCGACGGGATATGGACAATCTCATGGGCCGTGTGCAGGCCTCTGCTCAGCCAGTGGGCAGTGCAACAGCATTGCAATCACGTTCGGTAGCGTCGGGGGGCCCATCGCCCGCCGCGCCGACTGCGCCGACGGCCCTGACAGCATCGACAGCGCCACCACCATGGACGCGAGTTGTCGGCGTTTCCTCGCCGGGGCAGGGGCGCGTCTGGCTGGGCGGCCTCCGCGCTCGGGTCGCAGCCCCTGCGCCGCCAGCTGCCGGCGTGCAACTGCTGAGTTGGGCCTACATGCCATCGGTGGCCTCGCTGGGCGTCGGCGCCCGTTGCGGACCGAGCTCCGCCTGGCCGCCGAAGCGGTGCCTGCCCCTGCGCCGCCGCCGGTGTCGGGCACTCCCTCTGGAATGGCCTTGTTCAACGCGGAAAGGCCAGTGGGCGTGAACCGGCCATCGGGGAGAGCGGCCGTGTGTTTTGCTGGCCGCGAGACATGGGTGTCTGGCGGCATTCGGTCCGAGCGCAGCGTGCATTCCACTTTCGACCGCGCTTAGCGGCGCATCTCGACGAGCTTCACAGCGCGCAGCTAACGCTCGAGCTACTGCGACAGCAGGCAGACCAGCAGCGCCAAGCCGCGCGGAGTCGGGCAGAGACGCGGGCGAATCTGCCTCCTGTGCCGGCTGCGTCGCCAGCTACACCTCCCGCGTTGCTGATTTCCACGATGAGGGTAGGGGGTGTCTTATCTGTCTCGAGGTCTTCGTCCACGCCGAGAGGGTTGTGCGATTGCAATGCCGACGCATTCTGCGCCGCGCATGCCGCCTGCAGCTCGTGCAGAACACTGACGCCCGCCTGGGCCATTGCCCGGCGTGCCGCGGGCCAGCCGACGTCGTCGCCGACTCCCGCGCCCTTGGTGCAGATCATTTGCGCGCAGGCCTGGCAACTATGTTGCCGTGCCGCGATGCAGCGGCAGGATATATGCTGCAGGGGGGGCAGCCGCGGCAGGACTCAGCACCGTCTCCTCGGCGAGTGCAGTCACCCGGGACACCGTGGCAGGATCGGCTGAGACCCCCTGGCAGTTCTCGTCGGCGGTGGATGTGCTAGTGCCTTGCGACGCACGCCTGGAGGTGCGCGTGCACCCATGCTGGCCTACGTCACTTGGACCCGCGCTTCCGTGGTGGCCGACTTTGTCAGGTACGAGCTGGAGCCCCCAGGATGGCTCGCCCTGCAACCTGGCGAGTGATTCATTTTCGGGCGACCATTTCGGCGTCGTCGTCGACGCCAGCGCCTGGGCCAACCTCTGGGGCATGCGATTCCCCCAGAGGTTGGCCTGTCGAGCCATGCAGGCGAAGCCCCCGTTCTCGGAGGAGACGTTGTCTGCTACGCTATATGTGGCAGGAGTGGGCAACGGGCCACAAGTGGCGAGCTGAGAGATTCACTGCCCCGTCGCCACAACAGCGCGAGAAAGTGTGACCACTCAGCACAGCATGCGCGCTCCTGCCTTGTGGGGCACTGGCGACGCTCTCCCTGCCTTGCTGGGCCCGCAGTCCATGCGTGCTAACAGCGGGGTGGTGGAGACAGGCGTTAGCCGCGAGCGCCTCGCCTTCCCCTGAACGGGCGGCCGCGAGATCACCTGGGGCCCAGGAACGGCCCACTTCGACTTGGAGTCTGCTCCGAGTGGACACCTGTGCGTTCCATTTGGCGACTTCGGCAAACTAAAGCCACCCTCTGGGGGCCTGCCGCCCAAGCAGGTCGCGCTGCTGGCGGCGGGCGACGACGGCTGGGGTCATCGCGACGCCGACGGGCGATAATTCAAAGTGCTCAAGGTCCAATTCCTCTGTCCGAGTGCGAGAGCCCCTTCGCAAGCACCGCTGGCTCTGCCATCTGCGGCCTGCGCGCCAGCTTCGACGCCAGTATTCCGACCTATGGTCGGGAATTGGAACATGCCAGCATCGCAGCAGTGGCGCCGCAGGGCACATGCATGCGTATTGCCCCACGGTCACGTCTCGCTCCCAGGGGCATCGGCGTCGCCGGCGGCGTGGTGGACCCCGGTTTCCGCGGGGAAATCAAGGTCATCGTGCGCAGCGCCGCTCCGCGGGGCCGCGTGGTCGAGCAGGGCCATCGCATCGCCCGGATCGCCCTGGATTGGTGCAGCGACGACGCCGGGATCGTGATTGTTTCCAGCCTGCCCAAATCGTCTCGAGGATCAGGTGTTTTCGGACATGCTGGCGTGCCTTACCTCAGCCCTGACACCGCCCCGGGCGACGTGACCATCCCTGCGTCCTCAGGTCAGATCGGCAGCTGTGCTGCCGTCTGTCCCGAGGAGCCGACCCGCCATGCCGACCAGCCCCGGCAGAAGATGGCAGCGGGCCCAGGACGTCCCGCCAGGGTCCTAGAACGGAGGCGGGGCACATCACAAGCACTGCAGGATCACGGCTGCGACGTCATCCGCAACGCCGACTTCAGCGGCGCAGTTCGGTCGTTACCGGATTCCGCGTTTCCCATCGCCAGCTGCAGCATTCTATGGATCACGTGCGACTCGAACGAGGGCGAGGTTCACAGTGCTTCGACTCGCAGCTCAGTTGGCGTGCCCGCGCCCAGGGCCCAGGCACCAGGATCGTGATTTTGGGCGTTCGCGGTCCACGGTGGAATCGCCGGCCGTGATGCAGATGACTGACGAGCGCGTGTGCTCTACTCCAGCAGTCGCAGAGCATGCCGCAAGTCTCTTGCGCCGGGGGGCTGAGTGCAGCAGCGTGTCCTTCGCGATGTTCACAGGCGCCCCCGCACCCAATCAGCTGTGCAAGTGCGGCATCAAGATGGAGGGGCGCTGCGACGACTGGACGATCGCGAAGCGACGGCTGCGCTTAGCCCTGATGTGCCGCGAGGTGTTACGTCTTGCGCCTACAGCGCTTGTACTTCGACGAGCAGTGGCGCGCCAAGGAGAACGCGCCATCGACGAGGCACAGCAGCAGTGTCAGCACCAGAGTCGAACGCCACTTCCTGTCCTACGACGACTGGCAAGCGTGACTCCAACCAGCCCATCCAGGATCCCATTGCAATATCACCGAAAACCGTGTGTTTGGATGATAATGCTAACGTTACTTCGTGTCCGACGGCAATTGGAAAGCGTCACCCCAACCAGCGCGTTCAGGACTCGAAACGGCACGCTCAGGCCCCAGCGTAGGACCATCGAGGAGAGCACGATTTGAGGACGCCCACAACGCCCAACAAAGCACGGAGGACAAATCGCACCTTCCCTTTCTCACGCTATCTACTTCCGCTGGGCCCCGACAGTCACGGGAGGAGTCTGGCAACTATGTTGCAGGCGCCGGCGTTGCTGTTGAGCGGGGGGATAGAAAGGGCAACTGTGTTACCGATCCAGATCCCGTTGCCGAAGGGAAGGCGTCCGGCGATTGTCGCCAGTGCCAATTTTGCAGCAAAGTGCATACTTCGGAAAAAAGGTAAAGGAGGGCCATGTGCATTTAGTCCGCAAACAGGTTGTAGAGGAAGGACCACTACGACGACTGCGGCTCAGACCTCACGCGCCTCTCACCTTATTTTTCTGGCGCACCTGCCGTTGGCGAGCTGGGCGTCGCCGACGAGTGCGACGACGAGTGCGACGAGGGCGAGTGCACGCGGGGTTCGGGCGGATATTCGCGAAGCGAAGTCCTGCTGAACAGCTTGCCACGACAGATCAGAAAAAAAAAGGTTTGAGCCAAGGCAGCAATGGTCACAGGGGCCATGCGTGCATGCTCTGGCAAGACAGAAGATTAAATCTGTCCAGTTTGCAACAAAATTGGCTCCCGCCTGATACTTCCTCACAATGTATTCCCAAACCGCGCTCTCGCGCGGGTCTTCCTCACAATTTATACAGGAATTCCCCCCCCCCCCCCCCCCCCGCCCCCACCCCGCTCTTCCGCCGCTCCCCCGCCATCCGCCCCCGCCCCCTGCACGCGCGCCTAGCTTTCGGAGCCTGGTTGCTCACACCCTGCGGCCGTGCTTTCCCCGCCTGCCTGCTGCTTGCTTTCCTGCCTGTTTGCAGCCCTCCCTCCCCCTTCCATCCTCCTCCTCCTCGTCCTGCTCTCTGTTCCTGGGCCTGGAGGCCCCTCGTCGACGCGCAGCGTTTTGTCTTTCCTCCTCCCCCTCCTCCTTCCTCCTCGTCTTCCCCTTTCTCTTCCTCTGGATCTTATGGCTGCCAGCTTCGAGCCTGTGTGGGATGTCTCGGACGCAGCCTAGTACTATCGTCTACCCACCAGGCCATTACAGTGCAGGAGTCCAGGCAGCGGCTTTCTGGCTGGTAGGCTCGACTCGTTCTGCTGTTCACCACCTGGGCTTGCCCGTTGCAGGTCGGCTCGAGTGGGGTCGTTTTGGGATCGTTTGCTCCGTCTCTCCTCTTTTCCTCATCTGCTCTTCGTTCCTCCTCGTCCTCCTCTTCTCCTCCTCCTCCGCCACCTCTTTGCCCCGAGCTGAGTATTTGCAGTCACATGTGTGTCCGTATGTTTTACTGTCTTGTGGCAGTCGGCGAGGGCAGATGCATCGCTGCGGCGGCTTGCATGTGAGGCTATCGGTGTAAATGTTTGCCCCGGGCGCTGCCAGGATGGGCTTGTGCAGGACCGGTGTACAGTTGGCGTTCTCCAGCGCCTTGGGTCCTCCTGCCCAATTTTCCGAGCTGCGACTGGGCATGGGGCCGTTTTCTTTGTTCCTCGTGCCGGCGTAATCTTACGATTTGCACGACTTCTGCCTGCAGGAGTCGCGCTCTCGCGTGGGACGTCTCGCAATTTATTCAGATACCTCGCCTTTGACATCCAGGAATTATGCTCTCTCTGTAGATCTTTTTTTTTGTTCCCCTTTTTTGTTGTGTTATACATGTATGTAAGTATATATATATATATATATATCAATATATAATGTGAATCGCGCTATCGCTGGAGACTTCCTCGCGAATCATGCAGGACGCACGCTTCAGCAATCCGCCTGCACCTTGTCCCTTCCTTCCGTACTTCCTCTTGTTCCCCTGCTTTAGGGTTGCACGAAAGACACGTTGCAGGTAAGAAAAATAGACCCCAAGGGGGGTACGATCGAGCACGACGAGGGCGGGGATCGAAGGTTTGGAAAATACGTGTTGCATGGCACGCGAACAGATAAGAACGAACAGTCTTGAAATGATGGTTGGTGTTGTTGCTGCTGTTGAGGTTGCTGTTGTTGTTGTTGTTGTTGCTGTTGTTATAATTGTTGTTGTTGCAATTGTTTTTGTTGCTGCTGTTGTTGTGGTTGTTGTTGTTTTTGTTGTTGTTTTGTTGTTTTTGTTGTTGTTGTTGTTGTTGTTGTTGTTGTTGTTGTTGTTGTTGTTATTGTTGTCGTTGTTGTAAGTGTTCTTGCTGTTGCTGCTGCGGTTCAGTTTTTATTTTTGAAGAATTATTTTTGCTGGTGTACATTTGGGTTTTCAATTCAACTTATCCCTCTGGGCATGCACCGTGTCTAATATCAGGGAAAGTCTTCTTGCTCAAACTGCGTTGTTGCCTGGCCGCTGCAACAACAACGGTTCCCGTCTAGTACTTTCTTACAATCCAAGGTCGCGCTCTCGCGCGGGATTTTCTCACGATTTATACTTGAATCGCGCTCTCGCGTGCGACCTCCTCGCAATTTATTCAAACGCCGCGCACTCGACACTCAGAAATCACACTCTCGCCTTGGCCTTTCTCACGATTGACTTGGGGATTGCGCTATTGCGCTAGATTTCCTCGCGATTCATGCAGGACTCACGTTTCAGCAACCCGCCTGCTCGATCTGGTCGCCTCGCCCCGCCTTCCGACCCGCCCGCTAGGGTCTGCCCGTCCGATCGGCTCGTCTGGTTCTGCCACGTGTTTTCTGCTTCTAGTCCCCCCTCCTGCTACTTTCTCTCGTGCTCCATTCTTCTCCTTCCCCCTTCCATCCGTCCTCTCTTCCCCTGTTCCAGGGACCGCGCTAAGTTCATGTGGCAGGACAGGAAGATATACCTCCAAGGTGGGTGCCGAGGGTTCGGGATATAGGTGTTGAGTGGCACGCGAGCAGATAGGACTAGACAGTCTTAACCTGATTGTTGTTGTTGTTGTGCTTGTGGTGGTGGTGGTGGTGATGGTTGTGATGGTTGTTGCTGTTGTTGCTGCTGCTGTTGTTGTTGTTGTTAATGTTGTTGTTATTGTTGTTGTTGTGATTGGTGTTGTTGTCGTTGTCGTTGGCGTTGTCGTCGTCGTCGTCGTCGTCGTCGTCGTCGTTGTTGTTGTTGTTGTTGTTGTTGTTGTTGTTGTTGTTGTTGTTGTTGTTGTTGTTGTTGTTGTTGTTGTTGTTGTTGTTGTTGTTGTTGCTGCTGCTGCTGCTGCTGCTGTTGTTGTTGTTGTTGTTGTTGTTGTTGGTTTGTATTGTTGTTATTGTTGTCGTCGTTGTCGTTGTAGTCGTGCCCTTTTCCAGGGGTATTGCAAGCAGGAAGGAATACAGTTCATGATATCCACAATGTTGCCTGGAGCAATCTTTAGGATCAGGATTTGGATGTGGTTGGGGACGCGGATGCTAACGAGAAGGAGGGGATACGGGGAGAGGATGTGGAGGCTGGGTCCGTGCGCCCCCCAGAAGTGATTCGAGCATCTGCCACGGTGGCAGGATGATAATCAGACCCTGTCCGACGAAAACAAGGAATACCTCTTCCAGTACTGGGGGACGTTCGGCCGCTCCATGCTGTCGCTATTCGAGCTGGCCGCTGGGGTGGCCAAAAAAGCTGCCGCCCATGAGGGCGGAGACATGATCGAGATGGATCGGGAGGGGATAGGGGGAGGTCGGAGGGGAGGGGGTAGAATGGACTCCCACCCCCTCCGGTCGCGAAACGCACGATGTTGTTTCTGTTCGGTCTCCAGGGGCCGTCGCCGATTCGCCAGGCCCCAGGACTGTCAAGAAACGTCCCGGGGCTCCTCCCCCTCCTCCTCCTCCTCCTCCTCCTCCTCCTCCTCCTCCTCCTCCTCCTCCTCCTCTGCCTCCGCCTCCGCCTCCGCCTCCGCCTCCTCCTCCTCCGCCTCATCCGCCTCCTCCTCCTCCTCCTCCTTCTCCTCCCCCGACCTCCCCGAAAACAGCGGGCTCGTCTTGGGTGAAGCGCCAACCCTTTGATTTGGCCCCGCTTCGTGGGTGCTGCCCCCCGCGCTTCTTGGGAGCGTCGGTTCGCTTGGTTCCCGACCAGCCTCCTCCCCAAGTGGATGAGGCGAGATGAAGCGGAATGGGGAGGTGTGGGTAGGGGGGGGGAAGGCGATGAGAGAGGGGTGGGAGGGTGACGGGGAGGGGAAGAGACGGAGCGGAGGAGATGTAGTGGCGTGTACCGCCTTTGCCTCTTGTGCGACCGTGCCTGCAGGGGCCCTGGTGTGACCTTGATGCGCGGACGCGGTCCGAGTCCGTGCGACCTCTCCCTCGTCCTTTTCCTTCTACTCCTCCTCCGCCTAGTACAACAACTGCGACTACTACCACTACTACCATTACTACTACTACTACTACTACTACTACTACTACCACCACTACTACTACGACTACGACTACCACTACCACTACTACTACTACTACTACTACTACTACTACTACTACTACTACTACTACTACTACTACTACTACTACTACTACTACTACTACTACTACTAGTACTACTAGTACTACTAGTACTATTACTATTATTACTACTACTACTACGACTACTACCACGACTACTACAATCTATACTACTACTGTTACTACTACTACTACTACTATTACTACTACTACCACTACTACTACTACTACTACTACTACTACTACTACTACTACTACTACTACTCCTGCTACTACTACTGCTACCATTATTATTATGATTACTACTACAACGACTATTACTACCACTATTTTTTTACGACGACGACGACTACTACTACCGCAGCTGCTGCTACTACTACTACTACTAGTAGTAGTAGTACTACTACTACTACTATTACTGCTACTACCTACCGCTACTACTACTACTACTACTACTACTACTACACTACTTCTACTACTACTACACTACTACTACTACTACTACTACTACTACTACTACTACTACTACTACTACTACTACTACGACTACTACTACTACTACTACTACTACTACTACTACTACTACTACTACACTACTACTACTACTACTACTACTACTACTACTACTACTACTACTACTACTACTACTACTACTACTACTACTACTACTACTACTACTACTACTACTACTACTACTACTACTACTACTACTACTACTACTACTACTACTACTACTACTACTACTACTACTACTACTACTACTACTACTACTACTACTACTACTACTACCTACTCCTGCTACTACTACTACTGCTACTACTACTACTACCACTACTACTACTATTATTACTACTACTACTACTGCGACTACTACTTCTATTTCTGTTACTTGTCGAATGCCAGATTACGACTCATCACTATTTTAAGTTTTCGTATGCATATAGTTTTTTCATTATTTCCGTTCCGAAGAATATTTTTGTATCACTCGTATTGTTCTCATTCGTATTATATTCCGGTTGTGCTTAGTACCGTTGTTATTCTTCGTGGCAATCTTATTAGTATGGCCATTGCTCTTCTTATTCTTATTGTTATTCTTGTCGTTGTTATTATTATTATTATTATTATTATCATTCTTGTCATTATCTTTATTATTTATTGTTATTTATGTTGTTGTTATTATTCGTGCCGTTATTCGTAGTATCGTTCTTAGTCCATTCTCTGCGTTCGGTTCTTGTTTGAACAAACCACTGCGGTCGCACACCTTCCTTCTTCCCCGCCCCCTGTCCCCTTCTCTCCTGCCTCTCACCTCGCTTCTTCCTGCGTGCCAGCTTGCCTCCTACCTGGCCATTCCTGGGGGGTTACGATCTGCGAAATTGTCGCCACTTCCGAGGGCTGCTGGGGGGTCCAGCGGATCTTCCCGCGTGCCAGCTTGCCCCCTATCTGGCAATCCTTGTGGGGCTGTGATCTGCGAAACTGTCGCCACTTTCGAGGGCTGCTGGGGGGTCCATCGGAGTGGGGTCCCACGCGGACTTCGATTAGAACTCGCCGTCCTTGGGGGCTGCGATCTGCGGGACTGTCGCCACTTTCCAAGGCTGCTGGGGGGTCCAGCGGAGTGGGGTCCCACGCGGATTCAATTTTGACCTCGCCACCCCTGGGGGGTTGCGATCTGCGAACAGTCGCCACTTTCGAGGGCTGCTGAGGGATCCGGCGGAGTGGGGCCCCATGCGAGCTCATATTAGACCTCGCCATCCCTGGGGGGCTGCGATCCGCAAAACTGTCGCCATGTTCGATGGATGCTGGGGGGTCTAGCGGAGTGGCGTCCTATGCGGATTCAGACTGGACCTGGCCATCCCTGGGGTGCTGCGATCTGCGGAACTGTCGCCACTTTCGAGGGCTGCTGGGGGGTTCAGTGGAGTGACGTCTTATGCGGATTCAAATTTGACCTCGCAATCCACGTGGGACTGCGATCTGCGAAGCCGTCGCCACTTTCGAGGGCTGCTGGGGGTGGGTCCAGCGGAGTGACGTCCTACACGGATTTAAGGTAGACCTCGCCATCCCTGTGGGGCTGCGGTCTGCGAAGCTGTGGCTATGTTCGAGGGCTGATTGGGGGTCCAGCGGAGTGACGTAATAGGCGGATTCAAACCAGACCTCGGCATCCCTTGGGGGCTGCGGTCTGAGATACTGTTACCACTTTCGAGGGCTGCTGGGGGTCCAGCGGATTGACGTCGTGCGCGGATTCAAGTTTGACCTCGCCATCCCTGGGGGTTTACGATCTGCAAAACCGTCGTCACTTTTGAGGGCTGCTGCAGCTTGGACCTCGCCGTCCCTGGGGGGCTGCGATCTGCGAAGCTGCCGCAACTTTCGAGGGCTGCTGGGGGGTCTAGCGGAGTGGCGTCTTACGCGGATTCAAGGTAGAACTCGCCATCCCTGGCGGCTTCGATCTTCGAAACTATTGGCACTTTCGAAGGCTGCTGGGGGGTCCAGCGGAGAGAGGCACCACCACGACTCGGATTAGATCTCGCCGTCCCTGGGGGGCTGCGATCTGCGGGACTGTCTCCACTTTCGAAGGCTGCTGGGGGGTCTAGCGGAGTGACGTCTTACGCGGATTCAAGGTCGAACTCGCCATCCTTGGGGGCTGCTATCTGCGAAACTGTCGCCACTTTCGCAGGCTGCTGGGGGTCCAGCGGAGTGGGGTCGCACGCAGATTCAGATTAGGCCTCGCCGTCCCTGGGGGGCTGCGATCTGCGGGACTGTCGCCACTTTCGAGCGCTGCTGGGGGGTCCAGCGGAGTGACGTCTTACGCGGATTCATAGTAGACCTCGCCATCCTCGGGGCGCTGCGATCTGCCAGACTATTGCCACTTTCGAGGGTTGCTGGGCGGTCCAGCGGAGTGAGGCACCACCCCGACTCGGATTAGACCTCGCCGTCTCTGGGGGGCTGCGATCTGCGAAGCTGTCTCCACTTTCGAAGGCTGCTGGGGGTTCGGCGGAATGAAGCACCATCCAGATTCATATTAGACCTCGCCATGCCTGGGGGGCTACAATCTGCGAGCGGTCGCCACTTTCGAGGGCTGCTAGGGGGTTCGGCGGGGCGACGTCTTACGCGGACTCATCTGCGAAACTGTCGCCACTTTCGAGGGCTGCTGGGGGTTCAGCGGAGTGACGTCCTACGCGGGTTCAGGTTCGACTTCGCCATGCCATGGGGGCTGCGGTCGGCGAAACCGTCGCAAATGGACCTCGCCATCCCTGGGCGGCTGTGATTCGCGGAACCGTCGCTGCTTTCGAGGGCTGCTGGGGTGGTCCAGCGGAGTGCCGTCCTGCGCGGATTCAAGTTAGACCTCGCCATCCCTGGGGGGCTGCGATCTGAGGAACTGTCGCCACTTTTGAGGGGTGTTGGGGGGTCCAGCGGAGTGACGTCTTACGCGGACTCAGCGTAGACCTCGCCGCCATCCCTGGGGGGCTGCGATCTGCGATACTGTCGCCACTTTCGAGGACTGCTGGTGGGTCCAGCGGAGTGCTGTCCTGCGCGGATTCAAATTCGACCTCGCCATCCCTGGGGTGCTGCGATATGCGAAAGTACTGCCACTTTCGAGGGCCATCCCTGGGGGGCTGCGATCTGCGAAACCGTCGCCCATTTCGAGGGGTGCTGGGGGTTCAGCGGAGTGAGGCACAAACCAGATTCAGATCAGACTTCGCCATCCCTGGGGGTTGCGATCTGCGAGCTGTCGCCACTTTCGAGGGCTGCTGTGGGGCTCAGCGGGGTGAAGCACCAGCCAGACTCAGATTAGACCTCGCCATCCCTGGGGGGCTGCGGTCTGCGAAACTATCGCCACTTTCTGAGGCTGCTTGGGGGTCCCGCGGGCCGCTGTCGCGGGCCGCTTGCAGACCTGGCGGCGCGCCTTCGAGCGTTTAGCTCCCGCATTGAAAAGTGCAGCAGGGAAGCTGGCGGGCGACCTAGGCCCCGTTCGCTCGCTTCTTGAACTATACGCAGATTCAATCATTTTGTCGAGCGCCGCGGCGACACTGCGCAGGCAACGCTGCATCTTTAACATGCCACCGACAAAAGCAACACTCGTCGGTCTCCTCTCGTCACTTTCGTCGTCGTCCTGTGCCCCCTTCCACCTTCCCTCTGCTGCTGCCGCGCTGACGGTTCGCCTCCCCCCCCCTCTC